CCGGGGCTCCCCGCTCCCCTTACCGACCCCCGGGGAAGGCGGGGGGGGGGTGTTGAGGCGCGGCCCCCGCTGCCATTTGAATTTAAAACAGGTTGAAATTTGTTTTCTTACGCAAATGCCTCTCCCTCAGCTGACCCTTCAGCCCCATGCGTGGGGTCCCGAGGGAGTCAGACCATTTCGGGCTGGCCCTGCCTGGCGGGTCCCGTCAGAAGGGACGGGGGCAGCCACAGCCCTACAGGGGCTGGGGGGAGCTGGGGACCGACGGTGGGGGGGGCCCACCCTGCCTCCCCGCAGCACAGGGATTGCCAGAGGAGGGACGCGCTCCCTTTTGTAATTTGGTGGGGTTTATTTGTAACAGATAGGCCCACTTTGTCCTCGGGACTTTGTGGTAGTTCGCCACAGGATTGTGTAGCATAGCAGCGTTCTCACAAAGAGCATTACATTGCAAGGTGTTTTGAAAAGGTTAGATACTTGCAAGTGGTTAAAACACAGCCTCCGGGTAAAAAGCTTAGAGATCACAGATTCATGCACTAAAAGGGGAAGAAGGGAGGAACAGCATTCTATTCCTTTTAAAAATCTCCTTCCATCCCTCTTCTTTTTCTGCATCTTATTTTCCTTCCAGGCCACATAATATTTCAAACCCTCTTCTCAGGCCAGAGACAGAGATTGAAGCAGCAATTATCTTCTCTTCACAGACCGGGTGAAAGGCTGACAACGCCAGAGAAATTAGCAAGGTGGTTCTGTGAACTGGAGCTGGAATTGATGGTGTGAGAGATAGGAAAAACTGACTGGTACAGCCCATCTTCATCGGGCTTATTGACAGTACATACAGAATTATATCATTTTTATGTGTGTGTTTTGGAAGGGTCTTGGAAGGCTTTTAAGGTATTGCAAATGTTATGATTCAGATGTGCTTGGTAAAAGGGTAGGATCCATAGCTTCTGACAGGGCAGCAGGAGAAGTGGTGCACCCCCATGGGAGCATGGAGTGTGGCAGCAGGTTACAACAGTGTGAAGCTCGCTCTGGTTGTGTTTGGCATTGATTTTAGTTTCACAAAATGAGTTCACCTGATAGCAAATGCAGCAGTTCTACGTGACTTTGAAATACAAAAATAAACAACAAATAAAAAGAAAATGTTATGTCCACCTTTAAAAAAGACAATCAGAAGTCCAGGGAACAAAAGACCAGTCCACCTCACAGCAGTCCCTGGGAAAACTTTGGCGCAAGCCTTTGCGAAGACTTAGATGATGTTTGGGTGGGTAGTTAGAAGGGGCGTTCCTCAGGGGTTGATACTGGGGCCAGCCCTGTACAACATCTTCACTGATGCTCTCAGTGACAAGGTGGAATGAATGCATCCTCAGCAAGTTCCCAGATGACACCAAATTGGGAGGGGCAGTCAATATGCTGGGAAGCTGATTTGAGAGTGGAAAAGGAGGAAGGTCACAGAGTGGCAGAGCAGGAAATGGAGGCATGTTTTGAGTGATAACAGCAAACTCGGTTTGAAAACCTCCTTTATGTGCTTTTTATTTTTTTTTATTAAGTGCAAAGTTATGATTAAAAATTATTAAATGCAAAAAATGTTAATTTCTGAGACATTGAACTGTAGTTTCAATCCAGCTGACAGTGTGCTTGCTGACTGTAAGTCCCCGCCTATCATACGTATTGTATCTACAGAACTATTAAATCAATAAATAGGGTAGTATCATTCTAAACAGTATTTCTTGCAGTATTTGCAGATTAATTTCAGTGGTGGAATACAGATCCTGTATTTCGCCTTAAATTTAGCTTATCTCTGCAGTACACTATTTATACTCGTATTATATACACATACTAATTAAGGTGTTTATGTGTTACAGGGTGGGAGAAGCTTTCCCTGAATGCATAGGGTTTCCTGACACATGCTGGAAAAAGGTTGTGCCTAAACAAAGAGCTTGAGCACGAGCAATTTGTAAATGAAAGGAGCACAAGCAGACTTCTAATATGGGTGAGATAAAGCACGTACAGGTAAGTCTGCCTTTGAGTTCCAGGATAAACAGAAGAACAAACTATGATGAGTTAAAAAGTAAATATATTAGCACCACACATCCTGGCTTCCTTCATCTAGTATCATACCCTGCTGTCATCATGCCAATAGTCCTTCTCTTTTGTAGAATTACCTAAGCCCATGCACAGGCTATGGAACTGTCTGTCATCTCTGACCTTGCTGATGGACTACATAAGAAAGGATGAGCCTCCCAGAGGAAACCTGAACTGCATTGTCCTAGGAGATACATGCAGCTCGTAATAAATATTTTCCTACCTGTTATAAACAGGTGAGAAAAGGACACTTCTCCATGCTTTCCCTCCTTTGTCCTTCAAATAAAGACCACTTCTTTCCAAGCTTATCTGAGCTTAAATTAATCAATCCACAGTTTGATTGAAATTTATTTGAATTGTGGGGGCTGTTGAATATTTGACACAATGGGCTTAATTTCTGAAGTGCTCAGTATTACTAGATTGTCTTCAGTATTTCCAAACTCAGTCTTGACTTTCGTTTTCAAATTCAGCAGATAATAAAAGCGGGAAGATGTATTAGAAATCGCACCAACAATACAGGATTGCTACGTTGCAGCCACAATATACGTACACACATATGGAGAGCAAGTACAGAAATGTTTGCTATGAAGTTGCTGGTAGACTTTTTACATGTAAGCAGTTTGGTAGTGGAGGATAAGGACCAGATTTTTGTATTTAAGGGTAGCTTCCAGCAAAATGGGTAAAAGTTATTTCTAACGTGTATTCAGAAGAACCAAGCCCAAAGGAGATGCATGGCAGAAAAAAATACTATTTTTCCTGTGGGTTTTTTTTCTGCTCTGTAAGCTGTGCAGGCCCACTATGAGGAAAAACTAAGATTCCTGGCAGGTTTTACCATGTCAGACTATATTGTTCATGTAATACAACATAAATGTGATTGATATCACCAAAAAGGATACAGCATAGCAATGACAGATTTGCTTAGCAATTGTAAAGGCTATTTTAACTGAATTGCTGATTTAGGTATCCTTTAAACAGAGGGCACCCTGCATTTATGCAGTGTACCAAGGAATGAAAAGGTTTCATCCTTCTGTTCTGAAGGATATTCTGTTAAAATGTATGATTATCTATTGGATTACATTATCTGACAATAATATATGATAGATTTTGCAAAGCTATGGTCACACATTTTCTATACCATGAGATGTTGTATATAGTCATTTTGTTTGGGATGAGATAAATAAAAATGTAGCTGAACGCTAACTTTATACCTAGATATAAAATATATTCAGGAATCCTTAGAGCTCTTTCTTTTTTCTACCTTTATCAGGACTTACTTGATTTTTGACACATTAAGGCAACAGTGTGGGCCTTTGGATACCTAAATACTTTTTAGTGTTTTGAACCATACACTGATGTATTTGATGGTTGAAACAAAGCTAGACGAGAACACAAATGCTTAGAAGAGTAATCACATAGTGCATGAATGTGAGGAAGACTCTGAAATGAATACAGTTCCGTTAAGATATTAGTGAAGTTGTTCAGCTAGAAAAGGAAACTCAGATTCACACACAGAGTGAGGGACTACCACATGAATACGTCGCAATGAATAATGTGCAATGAATGAGTGCAAGCTAATACTTCTTTACTTTTCTAAAACAACAGAAGCAGAT